TGATGGGTGGAGGGTTGACTCTGATAGGGTCCATGGTCTGGAAGGGCTTGTGCTCCATGACACCAACCTCTCCTTGGTGATGGAAAAGGTTGTAGTCGGGGATCATAGAAAAAAGGCTGCTATCCATGGGGGCTTTGGATGTGGAGTGATATTCCTTTCCAGGGTAGGCAAGAGCTGTGCTGGTGGCCGGGCTGTGGTGGAAGGAGACCTGATGCTGGTATAGGTCGCTGCAGGTGGAGTAGGCAGGGAGCGGAGGACCGTATACCTGCTCCATGTCTGACGTCTGTCCACCCATGTTTGCTCCAGAGGATGGCGTTTGCGTTGTAACCGTGCCAGGTGAAGGAGAAACCCCCAGGATGCCCGCACTGACAAGACTTTTGATGTTGTTGTCGGGGCACCAGCCGGAGCCCCCGATGCCACCTGAAGGAGGAGTGTCAAAGGCAAACTTCCCAAGATATGTGACAGTTTGCCCGCTGCGGTTGGACTGGAAGCTGGATCCATACTGTATCTCAGAGCTTGTCTTCTCGCTTCCCATCCCTAGATCCATGATATTATCTAGATGAAAAAAAGGATTAAAAACATTAGCAAATTATTCTCTTGGATTCTAAAACATGGATTCAAAATACAGGAAATCTTGTGGAACCCGAAGAAAAAGATTCAGAAAAATTACTCTACTGTGCTGAATAAATATCAAAAAAGAAGAATTTGCTTTGTTCTTAAATAAAGCGTCGTATAAGTAAAAGGAAAAAAAGTTACAAAAGATAAAAGAATGATAATGTAAAAACCCATACAGTTCACGAAGAAACGTGAGCCCTGTCAGACCTGGGAGTTAAGTGACTGGAGTGTTGCCTCTGAGAGACTGGTGTCTCTCTCTCTCACAGATCCCACAAGCTCTCATAAATCAAGACCTAAACACCCCCTTTGATCCAGTCATTGTGTCCCTTAGGAGGACAGCCAAAGAGGAATGGCAAGATTTGATGTCTTAACAGCAGGGAGGATTATAAGGCAGACGCCAAATCTAGAATGCTCAGGAATTCAATGTTTGCATTTGCTAAAAAAAAGGAACATCTGGAGGGAAATTTCAGTGTTTCGTCATAATATTTTTCTTCTGTTTTTAAAATTATTATTATTATTATAGAAACATTTACAGCAATTCCCTTATGCTCTCGCTCCTTTTAAAGAAGCTTTAAAGAACAATTACAGATATATTACAAGTGATAAATTTCAGGGATAGCCGTG